CTAGATGTATATATACCCCAAACACCAGGCTCCTCAGAAAAAGAAACTTCTACAGAGGTACCTTGGCCTTTACTCATTCAAGTACAGACACTATAGATTATCAACTATCTAAATAAATCACATTAAAATATTTATTTAAATACATAGTATACCTTGTTTTAAAAGTCAGCCATCTAAAATGTATATAAGGGATTTTAAATTATCCTAAGTCAATAAGAGTCATATATTTGCTTCAATTATACACAAGGTTACTGTATTAAAATTATTCTTTTTTTTATGAGACAGAGTCTCATTCTGTCACCCTGGGTAGAGTGCCATGGAGTCACAGCTCACAGCAACCTGAAATTCTTGGGCTTGCGAGATCCTCTTGCCTCAGTCTCCCAAGTAGCTGGGACTATAGGCACCTGCCACAACACCTGGGTAGTTACTCTATTTTTAGTAGAGACAGGGTCACGTTTTTGCTCAGTCTGGTCTGGAACTCCTAAGCTCAAGCAATGCACCTGTCTCGGCCTCCCAGAGTGCTAGGATTACAGGTACCACATCTGGTGAGCCAACAAATCCAGCCTGTATTAAAATTATTATAAGCTACTTTTCTTTACTGTAAGTCTAGTATAATAAACCCCAGGTACTTAAGGAATCTGCTTTGGAACCTAAGGAACACATCCTTTTACACAACTCATCTCTCCACCATATACGCTACTGGTAAGAATAAGGTATTTATCATTAAAAATATACTAAGTTTTTTGTTTTGTTTTGTTCTGAATTCGAGACAGGTTCTTGCTGTGACACTCAGGCTGGGGTACAGTGGTGTAATCACAGCTCAATACATCTCTAACTCATGGGCTCAAGTGATCCTCTAGCCCTTGGCCTCCCAAAGTTGCTGGAATTATTGCCATGAGCCACCATGTAACAACACATTAAGTTGTAAAACCACATAAAGCTATCTATAAATTCAAGGATTTCTAACACCAAACAAGATTTAGAAAGACTTTTTGGTTTTAGGTCATTTGTTTTCTTTTTTGAGACAGAGTCTTGCTCTGTCACCTGGTCTAGAGTACCAAGGCCTCAGCCTAGCTCACAGCAATATCAAACTCCTAGAATCAAATGATCCTCCTGAATCTGCTTCCCAAGTAGATGAGGACTACAGGAACGCACCACCAT